AGCTGAAAGGAAAAAGAATGACAAACATGCTTTCTTCTCAGAAAGACTTCTATACCGCTAAAACATACACAAAACTATATATACCTATATACACGTGTCCCACGCAGAGAAATTATATCTACACAGCAAATCAGGGTGTAAGGAAGAAGAAAAAGGAAAGGTCTTACATATGGAAATTATTTTGTTTCTGGAGAAGCCATGTTTAGGACGCCAGAATTAAACAGGCTAGATTTATCTACCATGTCCTAGGCGAGGACAGATTCCATGAAGATGAACAGCAAGTTTTGTGTTTTCACAAATTGAAGACTGTAATCCGAAGTTTCTTTCTATATCTGGGAAAGATATATTGCTAAAGGGAAATGGTACCATGAACTTGTAAGCTGATGGGGGAGGCAAATTTAGCCTCAGCCAAGGCCCTTTGGCCCAGCCTAAAAAAGCAACTGCTCGGTTTGGCTGCTGTAAAGATATACACAAAACTATATATACACTTGTCCCACGCGGAAAACAATATATTATTTATATCTACACAGCAAAGCAGTTTCCTAAGTTTAACCATTGTCTTTTGCGAGTGGTAGTAATCCAAATTCTTCTTGGATTGGTGGAGAAAATATTCCTCTGCTTAAAGGGTAATAAAACAATTAGAATGAGTCAGAGAAAGGTGGAAGGAAGGACGTCTTTTATTTTTTTATAAAATATGCACGAGCTCACAGGTCTGGTAAGACAATGGATATTTGGAAGAATTTGAAGTTTATACGGTATATACAGGGTGTCCATAAAGTTCGTGTGCATTTTAAAAAGTTTATAACTTTATTTGTATTTGCGATAGAAATAATTTTTAAAAAGGATTAGAAAGAAAGAAATCTATATTTTTTAAGGTTTTATTGAAATTTTATTTAAGTTTCCACATGTCCTCCATCATTAGCAATACAAAAGGTAATACGATTTTGCAGTTCACGGAAAATATTTGCCAACTGATTTACAGTAATGCCTGAAATCACATTAGTTATTTCAACTATACTTAAAACTAGGTACATTAAACTTTATAACATTTTTATTGGTTATTTCTATCGCAAATACAAATAAAGTTATAAATTTTTTAAAGTGCACACGAACTTTATGGACATCCTGTATATACTGTATAAACTTCAAATTCTTATAAAAAAAGACAACACCATTCCTCAATGTCCCTGAGCAATTTTCTTCCAACAACTCCTGTAATCGATACAGCATGTTACGCTATTTATTTGCTGTTTGGCCCTTCTTAAGGTAGTCAGTCATCTAAATACTTTCATTATACCAGAAGAGTTTTAAATTTCTTCGGCCTTAGAAAACCCATGGAAATTATTCGGCAATAAATAAAATAATTTATTTTTTTTTTTGTCTTTTTTCAATCATTAGAAAATTTTCGGTCTCTCATTGAATTGAAATATGCCCGCACACATGCTAAACATACCCACACAGAATGTGAACGAAAATTGAAATAGACATCTACGTTCCGTTTCTGTCTGCTTACAACCTCGAGGTGCCAGGAAAAGAGTTTAAGCCGAAAATGTGCGGCCCTTTGAAGTGATTTTTTTTAATGATTCCTTCTGAATTTAAATTGAGACAAAGAAAAGAGGAACTTTTGTAATATCAGTGATCCTATATAGCAAGTGAATGCTGGACAATCAGTCTCCTCATACAAGTTGAATGAAATTAAAATGAACATGTGTGTTGCGAAGGCTAAATTCTATTTCCGTTTGATAACAACCCCTGGATAACAGGAAAAAGAATATCACCCCAAAAAGTGCGACCCTTTCAAGTAATTTTTATAACTTAAGTTATATATTTTATAATAAATGTTGTATTTTAAAAATATAAAAATGTGGGGGGGGGGTAAAGTTTAACTTATGACCAGTAGACACCCCCACCACCACCACCAAAAAAAAACAAGTTTGTCAAAAGATTTGTCTCTTTTTTGCCACTATTACCGTGAGCTTATAGCAGAAAAATACAATTTACATATACAGGGGATCCTCGACTTAACCTGATTTTCGACGGAGGCCGGATCTCACCTACATAAGTACCCATGATTCTGCCTTATGTTTGGGAGCCATAATGAAGGGCAAAAATCCCCCCCAAAAAAACGACACAAACGAGAGATAGTTAATCTAGCACAATCCAATATGGCGTACAGCTGGTGAAGAAACAACGCCGTCTTCCTCAAACAGCGCCACGTGACGACTTACGGGAGATGACGCCGTAATCACGAAACGTCGTACGTCGGATTCGATGTAACCTGAGGACCTTCTGTAATTAGAGATAACAAATTAAAACCAAATTTATACAATCATTAGAAAACATCTCTAATTACACACCAATTTTCGTCCAGCTAAGTTACACACACGCCTCACTCTACTCAAAACAAATTTTTAAACAAACACAATTATAGTAGAGTGATGACTATTATTGATGTGACACTTGCGTGCCACAGATTAATACAACTACGTCCGTGCGTTTCCCTTATATAGGCTATAAGATAAGCTGGACAGGTAGAGAGATTTCACGCGCACGCGCGCCTCTAAACATAGTGGCTACCCGAGAGCATGGCTGACTGCCCGTCCGACCATTAGGCTGTGAACACAGAAAGCGAATGGACTCCATTATCAATGCGACAAGCCCAAACCGATAACCAACAAGCAATCAGCCGGTTTAAGAATTCTCCTTTTTCACACTCTCATTTCACACCTCATACATCGTACATTCAAACGCTATACTATACGACTTGCCTGAGATATTTTCATATCTTGTAAATGGAAAATTAATCTTTGGTCATTTCTCCGAACCAGTGACTAATTTGTTTCTTTACTCCAACCAACTTCCACCTCGGATCAAACTCTCTTGGTATTTTTTATTGGTGTAAAACGTTATTTTTTTTAGAGTTTATATATATATATATATATATATATATATATATATATATATAAAACTGAATTTATACATTTTTATTGAGTCTCTTTGGAAATTATTTGGTAATAACTTTATTTTCTTTAAAATAAATAAAAAAAATTATTTTTTTTATTTTTTTAAATTTTGAAAAATACTCTTTTGATCTGTCATTTAAATGTATACAAACACAGAGTTCGAATGAAATTGAAATGGACATAAACACACGCACACACATCCTGCTCACGACTCAATGGATAATTTCCTTTTTTATCTGGTTGCAAACCCTAAGTGACAGGAAAAGAGTTTAAGTCGAAATATGGGTCTTTATTAGTGCACCCACGTCGCAACTGAATGAAGGTCAATTTAAAGTGGGTTTGCCGCCAATACGGTAAAGAAATTGCTCAAACTCCCTCAGTACTTACCCTTTTGGGAATACCTCAGGTGTCGGGTAATGGCCCCAGCCTCCTCCAGAAGGAGAGTTACTGCCTGTGGCGAAAGGGGGGAATACTTATCCACCTAAGGCTTGATCTTATATTATTTTGAAACTTCCCTGGCAAAAGTTAGGTAAACTGAAATATGTGACCCTTGGAAATCATTTTTCACACTCCTTCCATATTTGGTATGTTGGTTGATTTGTTTAGCTGCATATCAACTCCTTATGGATCATCTAATGCTGACATTTAATTTTTCTTGGAAGCTTTGAAGTTATAAAAATATGTTATTCTGCTTTCACAGTTGGATAGATGGTAGATGATACTCAACTTTTGTTCATATACAAGTTTGTGTGGATATGATTACTAGAGGTGGTGATGTGTGTTTTTTATGCTGTTTTTTTAAGACATTATATGGATTAATGTCATGAAAGAGTTCTTTCATGTTGACTGGTTGATTTTCTTTAGTGGTATATCAACCTCTATGAGTTATACCAAAATCTAAATAATTTCAACACAATTTTATGCTTTCAACTGAATATATTTTGAATGCAATTGTATGCCTTCAACTAGAGATAAAATGTATTGCAGATCATTTTGCTTTAAAAATGTTGGTCATGTATTATATGCATTATATATATATATATATATAGTTGGTATTTTATTTTTAATCTGTATCATACCAGTAAAGCCACTAAGAAACAAGGGGTTCCGGAGTATGGAAGAATTAAGAACAGAGACATTAATAATGAGTGGGAAGAAGAATGAGTTATCAAGAGGACAGTAGATAGCGATTGACATTGCATTTAAATTTTTACAGATTAATGTTGGCTGGAAAGCATGGAGCTGAAAGAATGGTCCACAAGCAAGGCAGTAAAGTCACTAAGACACAAGGGGTTACAGGGTGTGGAATAATTAGGAACAGAAACATTAATAATGAGCAGGAAGAGGAAAGAGTAATCAGGAGGACAGTAGATATCGATTGACACTGCATTTAAATTTTTGCAGATTAAAGTTAGCTGGAAAGCATAGAACTGTAAGGGAGTTCCACACGAGAGAAGTGTGAGAAAAGAAACTGTTAACATAGAATTTTCAGCTACATCTAGCCAGCTCAACGGTAAATTGATAATATCTCAATGACAGTCTTAGTGCTTAAATTAAAATATATTTTACTATAAAAATGTATTTTTATACTTTCATAGTTTTTGTTTGGGGTGGGGGACTATTTGCCCATAGCTGGGACCCTAGCAGGTGCTACCACCCCGGTTCAGAGTGGATCTGGGATCAACAGCAATTTAGAGGTGGTTTCATGTGCCTCAAAAACTCATATCACCCAGTCAGAGGCCTTTCTCTTGGATGTACCTTCCATATTTAAACTGAATATGTTTTCTTCTAAGAAATGTATTTTAAATAATGAAAAACAGAACTTGCATTTGAAATTTGATAATCTTCCTTTTCATCAGGTCAGTGAAATGATGGAAAAATTGACGTTAGTCCCATGAAAAGAGCTGGAGTCCTTTTAGTTTTCATTTTTTCCAAAGTAATTTTTTTCTTTTTAAATTACCCAGACATATGTAAAAATTGACTTCATTCCTTATTTATCTATTTATTAATTTGTATTTTTTTTTTTGCCTTTTCCAGTGGCTCAAGGGGGTCGACGATCCTTCAGCACTGTCCAGCTTAAACCATACAATCAAGGTCAAAGGTCGCCGGTTTGTTGTGTTGAAGTCTGGACAGAACTGGAAACGCCCGGATGGATCGTATGTCAACAAGCTTATTATCAAACGTGCTACACAAGAGGATTCTGGAATGTACATATGTCTTGGGGCTTCCAGTTTTGGATACAGTATACGACCAGCTTTTTTACAAGTTCAGCCAGGTAAGTACTATACCTGTGGGCATGGATTTAGGGAAATTTGTCTAAAGAATATTGGTCTAAGGGAAACCTGTTATTTGTCTATGGAATATCTAAGGACATTGGTCTATGGAATACTCGCCTAGGGACATTTATCTAAGGAATACTCGTCAAAGGACATTGGTCTATGGAATACTCATCTAGGGGCATTTATCTAAGGAGTACTCGTCTAAGGACATTGGTCTATGGAATACTCATCAAGGGACATTTATCTAAGGAGTACTCATCAAAGGACATTGGTCTATGGAATACTCGTCTAAGGACATTGGTCTATGGAATACTTGTCTAGGGACCATTGGTCTATAATAATAATATTTATTAATACATTAACACTATTGTCATAACAAAAGTATGCAGGTGTAGGCTTTAAGAAAGTTTTATTCAACTGAGAATACAAGGCTCGCATATAGTGTTCTTTTATAGTCCCAGTAAACAGAAATAGCTCTCTCAAAGAGGTGGGGTAAGAAAACAAGGAGAGACCACTCTTGATCATTCATAACAACTATATTCATATACAAAATACTGACTTTTATTGATATTATTACAGGATAATATTTAAGACACACAGCAACATTACTGCTGATACATTTGGTTTATAGGAATTTATATTGGCATTCATTGTTTGTATCTTAATACAACCCACATTAGACCATAACTCTCTAGACCAAGGGTCGGCAACTTATGGCCCGCGGGCCAGATCTGGTCTGCGAAGGCATTTTGACTGGCCCACGAGCCTGATTACCAATGACTCTATTTTTAACATGAGAGGCGACCTTCAAATGAAATTTATTATATGTCATTTTCCATAGAATGTCTACACATCTCAGTGCACTAAAAATATTAAACTATCTGCCAGTTATCTTTCATGAGACTTATTTTACCAAGTTGCATTGACTACGTTTAATGTCAAATAATGGATACATATTTGTTATGACCCTTGGCTACATTAAAAGATAACAGAAGCGAAAAGAACGATAAAGTGAAAGAGGCCAGGGAGGGACTGACATGCGAGGTAGCAGAAATCTAAAGACAGTTAAACATACGCGCATTATACATACATGCCTCATGAATGTGTGGATGATACCGCATGTGTACATACGTAAGTGTATATGTTTGCAACTATTTGTACTCGTATGTATGGGTATATGTGCTTCATTTTTGTTTGATGTGTGTGTGTGTGGTTCGTTTGTGGAACAATTTTCAATAACAGTTTCAAACCTACACGTCATAATTTCATCCATTTCACTTCGGTTGATTTTTTTCACTTTGAAGTATTTTGTCGTTCCTTGAGTAAAAGTAATTTTTGTTAGGTGTTTTTTAATTTTAGATTTTCTTTTGTTTTTCGGATTTCTCAATGTTTATTTTCATTATGGTTTTAAATGTTTTGGTTAACAGGGGGTCTGCATATGTAATTTTCCTTAATTTTTAATTAATGGCCGTCGTCTGGCCTGCGACCCATCATTATAACACGATCCGTCCCGTGGGGTCGAATGAGTTGCCGACCCCTGCTCTAGACTAATATTTCTTAGATATATATTCTTTAAACGAGTGTTCCTTAGACCAATATTCGTTAGACCAGTGTGCTTTAGATGAATGTTCCTTGGACGAATGTACTGGATCCCATGGGCATAGCTCTAAGATAATAGTATGTACCACCCCCTAAAAAAAAATGTTATACCCAAAGTTTAAGATGACTTTCTAAGTTTAGCTTAAATGTCGCACAGGGCTGGAAGTAAGAGTCACCCAGTGAGGATCCAAGTCACTATTCAATCATAATTGATTTGGTGAAACAAGCTTATTAACCATTACACCATGTCGAGTGCCCCAATGATTTTTCTAAGTGTAGCTTTGATGCGGCACAAGGCCGAAAGTGTGGAGCACCCAGTGAGGATCTAATTCACTATTCAGTTGTAACTGATCTAGTGATCAATTACATCACGTCGCTGTGCACATGCCCCATGAAAATATAACGATTTTCAAAGCGTAGCTTTGATGTGGCAAAAAGCCAAAATTATGGGCACCCAGTGAGGGTCGAACTCACTATTTAGTCACAACTGATCTAGCGACACAAGCTTGTTAATCATTATACCATGTCGAAGTACCTGCAAAAATTTAAGAATAATTACATTAAAAAAAATTTTATTTCATTATCAATAAATAAAAAAACACACTAAAATCAACCAGATTGACAAATCTGTCAGCACAACATAATTCTCTTTGTTAAAAAAATCTTTCAAAAATAAAATATACTTCAGAGCAGATTTTATCTAACTGGAGGTCATGTTTAACAAAAAAACATTAACAATTTAAATTCTCCAAGGACTTGTCCTTATAACTAATGTAAACATTAAGCCCTTTAAAAATGAATTTCTCAAAATTTCTTAAAATTAAAAAAGTTGGGAGCTGGGGTAATAGATAGTAATAAATTATTTTTACTAAGATTTTCTAAAATGTAAACATTTCAAAAGTAATTTAATTCACTTCTAAATAAGTCCTGAGTGTTTCATTATAATCCAACAGTTATCTGATATGTCAATCAAAACTTCACAAGGCCAGTAATATTTCAGTCAAAACCTCCCAAATCCAGAATATATCTGCCAAAACCTCTCTAATCTAGAATATGACAATCAAAACTACACAAACCCAGTAATATCAGTCAAAACCTCACTAATCTAGAATCTATCAGCTAAAACTTCACTAATCCAGAATATTTAAGTGGAAAAGATTGGGATGATGAAGGCAACACCAAAAAGATATATGAGAAAAAAAATCTGTCTTTATTTCTGAGATGAGGTATTGTAACAATTTACACTATTTACATTGTTCAGACTATTGTCCTCATCCTTACTGTCACATTCACAATGTTTTGGCTGTTGTATGCTCTGGCCTTCTTCAGGATCTGACTATATTTCTGAGATGAGGTGTTGTGACTATTTACACTATTTACATTATTCGCACTGTTGTCCTCATCTTTACTGTTACATTCACAACGTTTTTTCTGATTGATTATTCTGGGTTCAGTTCAAAATTCAAATAAATATCACCTGAAGAAGGCCAGAGTGTACAACAGCCGAAACGTTGTGGATGTAACAATAAAGATGAGGACAGAAGTCTGAACAATGTAAATAGTGTAAATAGAAAAAAATGTTTGGAATAATGATAGTTCATCATTTGAAAACTTTTGTGTTTTTGTGTGCTTGCAAAATCCACTAATTTCAAAACTAGAAACATTTATTTGTACACGTAAACTTTTTCCTACACGTTTTTATTCTTGTATTCTAATCACATCTTTTTTTCTTTCTCTCTCTCTCTCTCTCTCTATTCTTTTCTTAAACCATGGAAACGGAAGCAGATCCCGTCAATCCTCATCGTTACCATCCAACCAAGAAGCCGCCGACATCTGACTCGGACACTAACAACAACAACATCCTCTTAGCCATCTTGATTCCCCTTGTGTTGATTATCCTCATCATGGGCACTGTCTGCCTCTGTCTCCGTTGCCACGGCAACTACAACGAGACAAACAACAGCTCCAGTCTGCGCCACATTCAACATGTCGCCGTTCCCACCCACAACAAGGACTTCCCCACAGCAACATACGCAATGCCCCCACCTTCACTCTCCGCCTACCACACGACCACGATAGCTCCACCCGGTTCCAGCAGCATGTCAGGTGGCTCTACCTGCAGGATAACCTCGTCAGTTCCTCCCATGCGTCATTGA